CTCTTTGTTTGTAGGAATTTCTGTGCAAATCAACGTTGATTGTAAATGAAGAATGAAATATTTTTCAAACTTTTCAATCAATCTTTTGCATTTTAGTTGCATAAAAGTAAAGTTAATCAAAGAAACAAACTGATCGATTCGTTGAAAAACGTTGAAATTGCATACTTTTCCCTTCTGATTTTGATAAATTTTTCATAGCAAGCAAATTTTGTTCAATAACATATCAAAAATGCTATTTGTCATTTAAACAGTAAAATATAGCTAAAATATATAAATTCAAAATTAAAAAAAATATAAAATATCGAATGTAATAGATAAGATCTGAAATATATACTCTATGTACTTTACACTGTCAAACCTGCTATCTGTCCACAAAGATCATATATTTCAAACACACAGAAAAAAGAATATTATTATATTATTATTACAAAAAAGAATATTATTCTATACTACCAAAATCTGCTATCTATTCACAAAAATCATAAATTCAAACGAATCGCTAAAATGTGTTGTCGATAATCGATAAGGAAAGCTAAACAAGTCCCATCTTTTATGCTGAACTGACTGGCCAAGCCTCTGCAAAAAATATTTTATGGATTTATAATCTTTTTCATTTGAAATTACTGCTACAACAAATAATGAAGTAAAACAATAATACTGTGCAAAGAAATTGATAGAGTTAATAAGATTCAAAATTTTTGTATTATCTATGAACAAGACTATTTCAGGAGAGCTTAAAAAGAGTCTAGCGATTATATGCGAAGTCTAGCGATTATATGACTGGAAAAGTGCCGGCCTTGACAAGTAGTGACAACATAATCCCAACTTCTTGAATTTATTAATATTCTGAGGTATTAAAACCCGAACTGCTTAAGTGACATTTGTGATTTCCGTAGTGATAATCATCCCTTGAATCCCAAACATTCCATTCTTTCAACATTAGTAACAGTGGCTTCCTTGTTGACAGGTTTAGCTTAAAAACGAGACTTCGAGCCTTCTCTTTAGTCCAACAATCAAATATCATGTTCAGTTTCGTGTGCAATAAATACATGTAACAAGAAATATTTTTATTTCTATATCATATATTTTAAGTTATAAAAAACGAATAAAACAAAAGTATAAATAAATCAAAATAATATATTATTACTCAACAATGATTGGATGAACATCAATGGATTATACTATTATGAAATGGTTTTTTCCATGCAAGAAAACAAAAAATTTCATCAAGAAATTAAGAACTATAAATCTCAAAAGTTGTTAGGGAAAAGTGATAACAGTTATACGAACTCATCATTTACTAAAGCATGGTAGGGTGGGTTTTCTGGAAATGCTAATTATGCCAATACTTGAGGAATCTGGGGCATAACGCCATAATGCTATAATGATAGCCTCAAATCCCTCAAGTATTAATTTGCATTTCCAGAAAACCCACTCTACCATGCTTTAATAAATGAACGTTAATTTGAACGGTATTATTGTACTAAACTCGAACCATAAAATGTTTGTTACAAATGACATAATCACAAAGATCATATGAAAAAGACTAAATTAAAAATCACAATATACCACCTTCTATATTATAAAGTTCCATCTAATCGAGAGTTTTTGTTTCCTCTCTTTCTAACCCAACAATGCATGACTCATACAACGGTTCTTTCAAAATCTTGTTGATATTTTCCTCACTTATTTCGATAACATTAGCTTTGGAAATTAAACTTCGTTTCTAGCACTCATTTCAAAAGGAAAATGATAAGAGCAAATAGAATATACTCAGACCCAACCGAATATATTGCACATCTACCACTATCAATCCTCTTTTTTGTACAAAATCTTATCACTCTTTTCTCTTTCTATAAACAAGAATTATATTGAACTAATCATCCTATTATAAAAATATACAATATATTATTCTTTTCCTTGTTTATATCACCTTCTTCCTTTAGCTATGAAAATTGTAAGCCTTCTATTTTTAACCAACATAAACAAATAGATGAAGCAATGAACCGATAGTGTAGTTTTAGCCAACTAAAGTCAAACATGTAATATTTTCATTACTGTTCAAGCGCAATTTTTCGGTTTGCATTATGATTATCTCGAAAAGAGCAAGTAAGACCTTTAGCGTATTAATTTTGATAAAATACACTTTATGTATGCCAGTGAATTTGCAAATTCTTTGGATCTATTAAAACTATAATAATAGCTACGAACTATTGTACTTCTCAATGAATCCTGCTAGAATGTAAGAAAAGAAAAATAGCGAAATCCCTTCCATAATTACAATGTTGGCTTCGGCGTTATTCAAAGCAAATTTCGAAAGATTTAAAAAATTAAATAAAATGAGAGTACCTTACGATTTTTCACTGCTATCAACCAGCTGGACAATCATCACACCATCAGTTCGTTTACGAAGAAACTTCAATTTGAAAAACGGTTTTTCGCATGAAACAGCATTCATTAAACGAAATATGTCACTTTCTGCGCAAATATCAAAGCCTATATGGATATCATGCACATCAGATAGTAAACAAGGGATTCCCGTAGCTGGATGCATTCTTGTTATTGTAGGCTGAAATTTCAAAATTTCACGACAAAGATCAAGATTAGTCTCACATGCTGCGTCCTTAATCTCGCCGCAATGAGACTGTTAAATTATCCATGATTCGAGAAGTCTAAGAATTATTAAGTTATAAGTTTCAACCAATGATTACGAATCTACTTCGTAAGCTAGAAAAAACTTATGACTAATTATAACTCTCAGTATTTCTATAGCAAAACCTAACCAAATTACTGATTGTTAATAACAGTTTTAAGCGATATTTAAAGATGCTCATTAGGTAGTGAAATAATGTGGTTTGATTAGCGTTATAAAACGCAGAGATTCTAATTTCCGCAATATATTTTTTTATCGAATAGCGGTGCTTCATTCTGATCCAAAAACAAAAATAACTGGCGAAACATATATTTGAGGAAGAAAATAAAACTCTATAAAATTATGTCAATTTTTATTGAAAGATAATTTATAATGCAGATGAAAAATCAAGCAAGGATGAAAGAAGGAATAGACGTGAGAAAAAATTTCGGATGCCTAAAATACTGAATATTTACACATTATTTTCCATACATCCACCATGATAACACTGATACTAATACTAACCAGTTCATTGATAGAGTAAAGATTATTATAGGTAACCCTCTCATAATTACCATAATCAATGTAAAGCACTTCCACATCCGTATTATACATTGCTGTAATCACTGCACGAAACATTGCTTGAAATGTGTGACAATATGAAACACATAGCGCACCCAGTTTCTGTAATAGTCAAAAATTGGCACACAATGACGTTGAACAGAGTGAATATGAAACTACTGAAAAGTTTCATTCATTGATAAATCCTACTCTTTCTCAATGGATAATAAATGTCAATCAGAAAATGCATCTCTACTGAAATGCTGAAGAATGCTAAAAACTTCAAAGTAAATTACATCAATAAGAATACAGGAGATACCATTGAGGTCGTTATAATCTTCTCATTGATGAGAAGATTATGACGACAGAAAAACCGTCAGATAATATTGAGAAGCAACGAACGATATTTTCCTTCGGTAACGATTCAACAGCTGCTAGGCAATCCAAATATTGATCAATGATATCCAACAATCTATCGTTTTGAATTTGCACAAAGAACAGCGGCCAATTTTGATTTGACCGATCATCATCGCTTCTTTTTACAGTATATATTGCCTGTTCCTCCACTTCTATATACGGCACATAGGGCTGCAAAGACAAAGTAATTACAAAAAAATATCACCTTCACAAATATTCCGTTACTTTTGTTCACGATACAATAACCCACAAATCAAGAAAAGTGACTAAACGATTACTTTATAAATATTTAGTTTCTAATCATGGAAACTTTGAAACTTCAAAACCATGACCAAAAATATACGGATCATCATGTAAACGGCAAAAACTACTAGAATAATAATCTGCTATAATTTGGAATCGTATTCTCTCCAATTTTTTTTTTGTAATTTTTTATTAGCATAATTTACTTTTTTACTTAATTGATGCTACAATTAGATTCAAAAGTCCCAATGCTACAATTAGATCAAAAAGTCCCAATCTCACATAGATTTCTAAGCCGAAATCTTAGTGGAAAGATCTCGATGACCGAGCAAAAGATAAGCTGACAATAATGAGTTAGGGTCATACAAATTTAATACTTATAACAGTTTAATGTGACGATAATAACAGTATAATTATAGTAGTATTAATAACAATAAGAAAGATAATAAATATCGATAATGGCAACGGTAATAATAAAAATGAGCATTAAGATGGAACTAAATTTTATCGCACCTTAAATCCTAAATTAGCGCTAAATCTTTTTTTTCACATCTAATACTCGGTACTTTCATTTTCTCATAATTCACTCAGGTGAAAATTTACTGAAAAAATTACTCTATATTTTAAAGTCGTGATTAAGCGCTCGCTGTTGAATACGGCCGTTGACAAATTTCCCGCATTAAAATTGGCTATATTTTGATTATCTTCTTCCTGAAATACTTATCTCTATTAAAAAAAACTAGTAACATGGCAAGAACTATATAGGATACGTCAGTCTTCTAAAAAAGCTTCTAAGATGCTAACTGTTGAGCCATCGAGTGAATTCATTAGCTGAAACTGTTATTAACATTCTGCTTAGAGGCATTTTATCTTTTGTTCAAATATCCTTTTCAGAAATCTAAAGATGGTGTTTCATACCAGAGAACAATGTTGGAAATATAAAAAGATGGTTTAAAAAGAATTCAAAAGGAATAACTACGAACAGCCTATAGCTACATTTTCATAATACAAACTGCATGAAGATTTGACAATCATAATGATAAGTAATCAGTTCAGTTAGAACCAATAAAACTCTAACAAGTTACCTCGCTTCTTACTATTTCTAAAACATCACAAGCTGGAGAATTTCTAAAATACGAGATTCCTGGTTTGTACTGCCGTCCTGTTTTTTGCATCAGATAACCATTTCTATCGAGTGAACGATGTACATATAATGCTTTCTGAAAAAAGACTGCAACACTGATATCATTAACATTTCAAGAAATCTTAAAGCAATATTTAAAGTTTTCTACACCAATGAAGTTAAGCCTAAAAGAAAAAATAATTCAACTTAAAAATTTCCCGCATAAGGATTATAAGACCAGGGGCAAAGTTTATTTTAAAAAGAATTGCAGTAACACCTCCTGTTCTTCAGAGAGTGAAATAGGTTGTACTGAAAAATATTCACTGACACCGGTACTTAATCGATCACTACTTTCTAGTCTTCGTTCAACATGTTCGACAGCGCATTTTGTACCAACTAAGCCTAAAAAAAGTAAGCCGACTCAGACGGTCATTTTTCTCTCTTCCAAAAAATTAATACTTTATGATTTCAAAAGATAAGCGGATTTTCTTTAGTTAGTTATTAGGCGTTGTTTAATTAATTCTTCTTATTCTTCAATTTATTCATTTTTTGTAAAATGCATTGAATGGATCTTATATAGAATTTTTTTACGTAAAAATTTTTTTTTGACTCCCTTACAATTACTGCTCTTGAAATCAAAGAGCGTTTCGGCAAATATACTGCTTAATATAATGTTAAGTGACTTCCGACACTTTATCCGAATCATTCTGCATCATAGCAAATGCACATGACAACAGTGAATAACCATTGTCTGTACCGTATGAAACTTTCAGCCCTTTAAAAAAACGCGACAAAAATATTTCATAATTTCATTAAAAAAATGCGCTTTTGGTTGGCATAAAAAATCAACAAATAAACTATTCTCAAACTAATGATGTCGTTTAGTTGGTGTCTGCTATTGCATACCGGATGAAGCTCCTGACCTAGCTGTGTTGTAACACTCGTTCAAAATATGAATCGGTGGTTCACCATATTGCGTTTTATGCAGAAGAGTCTGCTTCGTCTTATATTCTACATGAAATCACAGAATATAAACAACACAAGTATTGCAATTTGTTTCCATTTCAGTTTCTCTTTTACTTTACTTCTTCATATCAAACTTAAATAATGAATATTCAGATCTAATCTATCTTTCAGCCAATCTTATCGAATGAAACGATGCAATTATACCTTCTTGTTGCTGAAAGTTATTGTTCAAATCTCCATCAGTCGTTGCTGGTATTTCGTTATTACTAGGTCGAAAGTGACAAATTCCTACATTGCGCTAAAATAGCAAAACAAAAGTAGAGCTAAACAAAATTAAGACAAAGAAAAGAAGAGAAGAAATAAAGAGTAAGGAAAGAATTTTTTTAAAAAAATTAAGACAAAGAAAAAGAGGAGAAGTAAAGAATGAGGAAAGATTTTTAAAAAAAAAATTAAGACAAAGGAAAAAAGAAATAAAGAGTGAGAACCGAAGCCAAAGTTGAAATTGGTGATGACAGTTGTGTGTTACCCGGAACTGTGATCAATGGTACTGAACCATTACGTATTTCCGAAAAATCACCGACATTAGGATGCATACAGCAACAATTCATTGTCTGGGTTGCGGTAGGAGTATGCATATTCCTATTCAGCCTTCTTTGTTGGTTTGGGTATCTGAAGGAAATGAAAATGGCGTCTCTTTGTCGTTTGATATTTTCAAAGCTTCCTATTATTCTATTTGTTACAATTTCAAAAAATTCATAAAAAATCCAATATTTAATCAATCCTAGCTTCAAATAATCTACATAATATTCTATCTATTCTTATATTTATAATCGCAACTTCAATTTCATATAGAACTATTAATGTTAAATGCGAAATGAGACTTGGCCTATCATTCTCATTGAAAAGTAATTTGCATTAATCATAGCGATCCATGAGAGAAGCTAACACCGGAGGTAGTTGTTGAACTGCCATTGGATCAAACAATAAATTGTTCGGTAATGGAGCAGACAGTAACGGGTTTACTGCTAGGGCTTGAGCCCAGGTCTGATATGTTGAGGGTGAAGAGCATGGATTCCAACCATCCCTACTTGGAAATGGGCTACTACAAGCCTGTACAGGTAAAGATGTGACATTTGGAAATGACCTGCAGCAACCCTGAAAAAACACACAGAAATCTTTTAAAACGGAAAGTTTGGACAATACAGTAGCTATAGAGAGGACATATAGCAGTATTAGAAACACTTGAAAAAAAAGTATGGAAGAGAGAAATACACACCAAAATCTTGATAGCTTTTGATCCTTGATGCTTTTTCTAACCAATTGTCTTTACCTTATCTGTCAAGTGTTTCTGATATTCTAAGATAAGCACCAGTCGCCAAAGACTTTGATGAAAAGTCAAAACTTTGACTTTTCATCAAAGTTTTTGACTTCGACTTTTCAAAAAAAAAATAAAATTCAGAAAGAATAAAGAAATGGTACTGAGAAAAACCCAGGACGAAAATATCTTGATATCACCGAGATCTTATAATATTCATGAAGCAGAAAAAATATGGTAACTTACAGCAGCAGAAGGTGTAAATGGCATTGATATTGTGTCCAATCTTTTCAGAATAGTAGCAAATTGCAATTGCATAGTTTGTAATGTCCATTCTTGCTCAAATTTCGATCTAAAACTGTTTTATTCGTCAACATTAAGCTTTTGAAACACGCGTTAAGATATTTTACTTGATATCTCATCAGAATGGATAGTTACCAATAACAGGTAGTGTCGAATACCAACAAATGATACTAGATGGTGTAAAAAGAGTCCACCAAACAACTATAAAATGGAACTGTACTCTTTGCTTAATCATCGATCTAGAAGGAATAAGTGAGAAACGTTCTTGATCACTGGTGCTGGTGACCCTTTCATCATGTTGTCATTTTCACTAACGGACCTAATATTAATGATAATATGCTGCTCTAAATCATACTACAAAATGCTCATAAAAACATGCTTATTAAACAAAGGCATTACTCATCTTACTACTACAGGAATTAGGAAGCAGCTTAGAATTACAAAAAAATTAGATAAATATACTTCTTCATCTCAAATAATTCTCTTTCAATTTGCAATCGTTCCTTCTTTTCTCGCAACTTTTCTTCTGAAATTTGGATCGATTGTTCAACTGACGCTACGGCTATATTGTCACTTTCATCTTTCATAAAATTATGGCAGATATCTTCCGTATTTGCTGCAGGGAAAGTCTTCTGCATTACTGAACATTGCGCTGCTTGTACAACCTTCCCCCAACAAACGCCGTCATCAGCAAATGTCGTTATGCATATAATATACTCCTTATCGACTTCCAGCTTAAATTATGCCAAAAACTCTAATATATATATAATAACACATTTATCACTCCGATGGTATCTATCATTTAAAAATAACAGAAAGAAACACTAACATTCCGTAAGTATCTATTTCGTTGCTTTTTGATCCCAAATTTGAATGCTGCTACTGGCATTTTTAGCACATCTGATGGCTGAAGCATAAGTTTTATCAAAGTAAGTTAAATCTACAAATATAAATTACCTCATTATAATAAAGTATATGAGAAATATACTGACGATATTATGTGTCTATTCCTCTCCGGCTTTTTTTTTATTTTTCGATACGAATAAAATACAAAGAAGAATATTATTGTATATTACCAAAAACTGTTACCTGTCCATTGAGATCATATATTGCAAATGAATCGCAAACAACGTATTGCCCGTAATCGACAAGGAAAGCTGAACAAGTTCCATCTTTCGTATTGAACCGACTGGCCAAAGCTCTGCAAAAAAAACTTTATGGATTTATAATCAATCATTTAAAATTACTGTACAGCAATAATGAAATAGAAATAATAATACTGTGCAAAAAATTGGTAGAGTTAATAAGATTCAAAATTTTTGCGCTATTTGTAAACACAGACTATTTCAAGAAGAAAAATTAAATTAATGGTTCTTGTGTTGCAAAGCTTAGAAAGGGCCTGGCGATTATATGCAATAGACTGGAGAAATACTGGCTCTGACAAGCAGTGACAACAATTTTATATTTAGCTAAATCCCAACTTCTTGAATTTAATAAGAATATGAGGTGTTAAAATCCGAACTGTTGTTCGCTCAAGTGATAATTAATCATTAACCTGTAAAGACGACATCGACTCACTCTGGGTAAATTACATGGCCGTGCAACGCGAGCAATGCACGCTACTCCAGGAGTATCATCAAGATACATCGATGGCGACAAGCGTTTTATTGGACGCACTATATACTGCAACAAATAGAGATATTTTTTTTTTTTTGTGATTTAACTTCTGAAAACATCGGGATTGATAAAACGCAAGAAAGAAATGGTTAAGTTACCTCAAACTGGGTCTATCTGACCTTTCCGTGTAAAAACAAAAAAGGAAATTACAAATATTGGCATCTCCACTCTAAATAATTAGTCATAACCATCTCAGTTGTCCACAACAAAATTGGCTTACAATTCTCCAAGAAATTCGTAAATAATCAAGAACATATTTTTTTCCGAAATATTTTATACAGATTAGAAATCCTATTTTGAAAAAAACTTAGCTAATCCGATCAAACATGATTTCGTTTTTTTATTTCTCTTAATATTAGGCCAGTTTTTATTTCACGTTTTTTTAGGAATTTTATAGAATCAGATGCCATCCAGAAATTTTTAACAAATACAAATAAATTTTTTCAATAAAAATATTGCAAATTAAAAAAAAACTAACCTGATATAAAACGGCCAGTTGTTCCGTATTTCTCATCAAGTAGATATCATTGGCTAATTTCTCAGTTACACGTGCAGTAAATTTCCGCGCTAATGTGATTTCAAAAGGAGCAAACATGAAACTCATGTCATTCTTGGTTTTTTCCACAACAACTGGTGAGGAGACACTTTTCATAACCATCTGCAAAGTATTGTGAATTCCTAACGTCATTGTTTCCGATAAGCCGCCAAACAAATATTTCGTTATTATTTCCGATAAATCGTCAAACAAGTATTTCACTACACGGTTGGAGAAATTGTAGAATTTGAGTTAAATATACTGTCATTAATCGCAATTCTATGTGGGAAAATAAACAAGGATATAGCTGAACTAATTAACTTTGGCTTATTAGTCTCGAAATACTGAAAACATTTTAAATCAAGTAATTATGATTTTCGCGATCACTGCAAGGAGAAATCTACACAGAAATCTTCCCAGAGATTCGGACAAGAAAGTTGCAGGACATATACTCTGAAATTATTCCATAAAATAATTTATCGCTCCATCGACATTATGTAGCAGCACAAATTAAACAATGTTTTTGGTGTAATTAATGAGGAGAAGACACCACGGTTATGCGGGAAAGTAACCATGTCAATCTACCAAATAACTTCATAGGATAAATACAATCCGAACCACAACCATTCCGAAAGTATCCTACGTGCAAAATGGAAGCTCTTCAATGATGCGGCTCACAGCATACGTTAAAAAGGTAATGCTTAGAAATAGTGTCTATTGTAAAGAGGAATAAATAAGGTTGTTTTAAAAACTTACGTCAATTAAACGTAGGACGCAGCGTAACATTAATGGAATAGGACGGTCACGTAAACGAAGTCATCACATACTATAGTCTTCATGTAACAAATAAAACATTCGTAATTAGAAGTACTGTACAAGGTGTATAAACGAAAGAGATTAGAAGATTCTATCCTATAATCTCAGTCAAACTTCTTCCAGGGGCTTTGAGATAATTGAGTGGTAGGTTTCCAAAAGCCTTGTGAGATAATTGACGATTTATACTAGCCAGACATAAACCACAATTTTTACATTTTACTCGCCGAAAATGAATGTCTCAATTGTGTGCATCGCCAGGTTCATCCCAATTTTGGATGAATGGCAGGACAGGTGAATCGTGAATCAGTATTTGCAGCTTGACCTTTGTCACCAATGTGCCATTTGTCGCCTTGCCAATTGAGCTTTTTACTGAGATTGCTTTCGTTGTAATTTTATTGTTGAATTATTTCATTAAATTTGTTCTATATGTTTGGATATCAATTCATAGTATATTTAATTTTATATCATTTCATTTATAATTGTTGTTCCTTTAGTTCTATTGGATAACTGTTATGTTATGCTTGAGGGTGAATTAGTATTAGTTATTAGACAATTAAATTAGCGGTAATTGTGTTTTTTATTTAAACTTATTTTTAATGAAAAATTCACTAATTATGAAAACTATGTGACCAACTTTTTGAATAGTTTATTTCTATAATCATTCAAAAATTTCTTTTATTTCCAAATTTTACTTCATAAATTCTCCTTTTCAACTTCCAAATTTCACTTCTTGAACTTCATTAATTTCTCGCCGAAATGAAGAGGCATTGAGAATCCTCTCCTCTTTCCAAAAGATTCAGTCTAAATCTGTATTTCATTAATTACGGCTGCATATAACCTCGGGCATCAATCGAAGATGAATAAAAAATTATTTTTAGGACATTGTGGAAATAAACTAAACCATTATGTCGTAGTAAGCAAAATATGATGTGTGATGTGAAAACATGTTCCGTGATTTTATATCAGAATACGTTGCAGAAATCTCGCTGATTACGTGTGATACACGGATGAATATGGCGTATAATTATGAACGAGCAAAGTAAAACATTTTGAAAATTGATAAGCTTTAAAAACAATCTTACGAAAGAGAAAAAGTGTCACTGCGAAAATACTCTGAAATGAAGCATCTCAAATATCATAAAGGTACAATCAGAAAAGTGAAATACTGTTTCATGCATTTCAAAGATGAAATATTTTTTATAGATTTCAAGGCTACAACTGCAATTTACAGATTCTAATATTTTTTAATAAAAAATATTAGAATTTTTAGATTCCAATTCGAAGCAATCTGCTAATTCTGTACGATCAAAGAAATTAGTGTATCGTGAAGATTACGCTGCTATATCGAACTTACGGCTTTGAACGCTTTGGAGTCAAATTTTTAGTCAGATATTTAACAATATGAGAAAATCAGCCAGCTTATTCGCTTTCCTTAAAGATATTGAAGTTGTTAACCATAAACATATTTCTAAAATCTAGGAACTCCAAAGAAAAAAAAAGACAATTTAATTGTCAAAAAATTTTAAATATATAATCATTCATTCTTTAATCAGATAGTTGAAGATATTCTCATTTTTCCTGTAACAACTCTTTAAAATACTTGAATATCTACCTGATTGTAGCGTGCAGGTAGTAAGAGCATTGCAAATTAATGAAAATATTCAGCATCTCATGCATTTTTAAAATCAGATAATTCTAAGGATTATTTCATTTGAATTGTTCAAATTCGAAAATCTGCCGCTTACATTCAAATTTGAACTATTGCTAAAAGAATTTGACATAGAACACAATTGCGAAGAAAAAGGGAGAAAATGAGGAACAATAAGTGACTTAGAAATAAATAATTGTAAATGATATAATAATGCACCGACGGAAAATGAAGAAAAACAGAGCAAACGATAACATGCAAAAATATTGTATATAATATACACAAACTTATGAAAAATATTTGCACATGCATATATAAATACAAATAGTAAAAAAAAAAACAAATAAAGCATATCCATAGTATCCGAAATACCGAATTATCTGAAAATTTACAAAGAAATGTTTCCCATTTTGATCGTACGTAGGCTCCATTTTCGAAATTTCATATTTTTAACACATTGTTCAATGACTGACTTCTTTCCTGGCTTTTCTGAACGAATTCTAAAATAAAAAAATGATACTCGCGCCAATTAACAAAATGATGAAGTGAGATTTATGCACCGACAAATCTATCAATTTGAATACTTTGCACTTGTCAGAAGGTGAAGGAACGGGTTCCATAACCGGATGCACCAACCGCATTATCAAAGATCCGAAATATCTCTCATGGAAAATGTAATATTTGAAGCCACTCAATCATCAAAACCAATCGACTACTTATTACTTACATAAACACATCAGAAGTAGTAAATAAAATTGATGATACCTTTCTAGAATCAGGAAGTTCTTCATCACCCACAACAATCCTCGGCTTCTCCTCCATGTCATTAACACAACTCGACACTTCCTCTCCAACATCACTTTCATTGATCAGAGCTGATTCGCCAGGACCAGTAACCATAACTTGCTATAAATGAAATCCTATACTTAAATACTTATCAGTACCATTTCTCGTTAAATAGCACTCACTTCAATATGTCATAGAAAAAGGAAACATGGAAATAATCAACAATAAATTTAAAAAAGAGCTAGTTTCTTCATTTGTCAAGAATATATAAACTATACGTATTTAAGCGTGAGATTCCATAAATTTTGAAAATATCTTAATTTAAATTTGTTGTTGAACAAAAAAAAAACTCGCACTTCCTCATACTCCTTAAAAATATTATTCTGTTGGCGCAAAAAACTTTCTTTTGCTCTTCGTAAAGTTGTTGTTGGCGTAAGTGTTCCACTGTACTGCGCTTCCATATTATCATCATCTTCAGCTAAATCATCATTCTCTACGTGATGTGTTTCGGAAAGATCATTATCACAAAAGTGGCTCTGAAAAAAATGAAAGATTAAAATAAAAAGAAAAGAACAACATCAAATAACTTACAGTAGCCAAAATCTATTACTTGTCATTTGAACAAGTCCACTATTTCACTGATGAGACTACTTTACCTTAAGGTTGCCTGAGAGCAAAATGCCTTATTCATTGTTTATAAAAGCAAAACAAAAAAAAATTTCTTCATGTTCAAGATAAAAACTATGACATAGTGAAATATGAAATGAGGATTTCTAGCTTGCATAGGCAATATGCCAAAACTACTGATGTGAATCATTTAAAACAATTCTGGACGCTATGCCTCTTTTAATATGAACTCTCACTGCAACAAATCCCAGCAAAAGATCTTCAGGAAAATTCATATCATGAGATGTCGGAATATGAAAAAAAGGTTGAAAACCTTATCAGGTTGCGAAGACTCATCTAAATTAATCGCATCGGTTATTGAGGTATACTCTTCATGCCTCCTTGCACGTCTTACGCTATCCGCTACACTAAAACAAGAAAAAATTGAACAAATTGAAATTAATACATTTAGAAGAATTTAAACCTTTCCTCAAATATTATAGTGGAAAATAAATCTACAAAACTGGAACAGATTAACTTGTTTCCTTAACAGATTTTAAAAAACTACAAGCAAAAGTGCAATTTTTAGTGAGGAAGACTACTTTGAATAGGAGATAATGAAGAGTTCAAGTTTAGAAACAGCTACAATAGAGCAATATTTCGACGAAAGTATTGATCACCTATGATATTAAAAGCTCGCACTCGTACTTAGCTGAACACTGCAAGGAAGCTGATAAGAAACCACTTACCACGAACTCTTCTTCCTGATCGCAGAACTATCGTTTCCAAGATTTAATACGGCTGGATTCAGCGACAACATACTTCCAAAGCGATCATAATCACCACTGCAAAGAAATTATAAACATCTTTGGCAAACCTCAAATGAAAGCTTCACCAAACAGCATATTTACCCTTTATTAGTGTATAATAATATCCATTCTCGCACTCTAACTGAGACTAATGCATAGATTTAGTAAGGTATTCTTACTGAGAACATTGGAAAAAATCAGAAGTATATAAATCTAACTGTTAACACAACCTATTCAATTTGATTGTGAAAATAATTTCAGAGTGGGTAGTATTAATACCACTCCGATTAAAATATAACAGCAAAGTTAGCATAAAATACAAAAATTTCTAGCGATATAATGAAATTTCGTTTTCGAAAAAAAATTCATCTTTGACATGCCTTTCCGCGTTCGTTTGTGAACCAGTATGAACTTCAACACAACTCGTTACCGTTGTTGTACGAGCACGTTTTCTTGGATAGGTTGGGTAAGCTGAAAAATCAATTTTACTACTTTAAATACCGAAAATGCTATGTAAAGTTCAACTATTCTATAATACAAAAATTACATTTAACATGTATTCTTAAAGCTGCATAACAATGCTAGTAATAATTGTGATAAACGATAAAAGAGTAAAAATGGAGATTAGGAATATATTTCAAAGTCATACCACAATTAATAAAGCTGCTATTTTCTTTCGCTGAATTTCTGTAACAATTCCCCAAAGACTTAGTTTCCAACTGAAATGAATTTATTACATAGGCTCACAGTAGTACTCACGATTGAAATATTAACCATCAATCACATAATTTTTAAACTCTGACTTTACGGTGTATAAATACTTTAAGAATCATTACTAAATTTTAGAAATACAAAACAAGTAAGCCTTTAAAAAAATTTCCATAAAGATAACTTCTTCATTCTTGATCAAATTGCTAGCTAATATTACTGTACCCGAAACTTTCTCATAGTTAAATTACGACCAAGCTTTGCTTTTCAACGAAATAATAATGAAAGAAAAAAGCTTACTCTTTCATTTCTCGACAAATAGTCAGTTTTTGAGAGGGCTGCTAAATCCGCTGCACCTGACAAATTACCCTGACTGCGTTCATCCGTAGATGAGCTGAGCTGCAATGATGATAGAGGGAAACTGCCACTGCTCTGTGATGCTTTTGGGAGAAGATACGGTGTCGCATTAACTATTTGGCGCATATAATCAAGCATTTCATGCTAAAAGTTAATAAAAACTTTTAATTTTACTGTGAATGAAAGTTATTTTTCATTTCTTTCAAAATTTACGATCAAACTGACCATTTAATGTGAGGGGTACGGAAGTTATGGAAAATATGCAATGTCGAAACATGAATATATGTTGGCATTTTCAGATAGTACTTATACTTCATAAATGAATGCAAATCTAATTGATGAATTAACTGGACAAAAATGTCTTAAGATTATTTCAGAATATCCTAATAATGTTATATTCGATCCTCAGTATAGCTGTTGGAAATTTAAATCAAGTATAATAGGAAAACAAACCTGTCCACTTTCTATGATCTCCAAACGACGATCCAAATCACGTTCCTTACTTGTAAGATCATTCAACCGAACAAGCATGAGATCAGTTCTGAAAAAGAATTGGCAATGATGATAGCATATAAAGCACTAAAAAAACGGTTTGAGAGATGAAATTTCATAAAAATAAGGCAGAATGTCAAAAAATTGCAGAATATATAAATTTCATATACTGCAAAATATCTTTTTTTGCAAATTTCACAAATTATGAAACGTTATTCAGTTGTAACAACAACAATTTGCATTAAATATGAGGATATGAGAGATGTAAAATACTTTTCCTTCAATTAATCTTATACGAAAAACGTAGAATGATAATTTTCCTAGAAACATTAGAACTTATTATTTCATGTGTTACATCTCATATATTGGTAAGAAATGTAAAAGCATAGTATCATTCAGAGATTTCCGTAAAAGAAACTCCAAAACATAAAATCAATAACTTGTTGATTAGATAAGCCATCTAAATTTCTACTTTTCAAAACAAATCAAAAAATTTATCAATGAGTAGAATTAAAAAACACTGTATTCCACCGAAAATTAATTCGGAATCATACAATTAAATCGCAAAATAATGTACACAGTATTATAAATTCGCGATTTTACAGTTACCTTTTTCCAAAGTAGAAGAAAACAAACTTTAGAATTATGAATATATATCCCAGTGAGTAAATAAGTTTAAAGAATACCACAAAGCTATAAGCTCTTTAAAAAAGATGATTTACAACCGTCTCTAATTGAAGCAATCCTAATCACTGCATTAAAAAACGAAAACTGAACTTAACGATACCAGTGCCAGATAAGAATACAATATTGATAATATTGAAAAATGATAACACTACCTACCGCTCCGCAGTTCGATGAATCCTTTCTTCTGTTGACGTGCTCTTCTCATATTCTTTTTCACGAGCTAAATCACCCATACATTCTTCTTCAAAATCATGTAACTTTTCCACTTGATCAGCGTTTAAAAATAACTCTATAAATTGCAACAACTAACAAGTAGAAAGTAGTTTTTTATTAAATGATGCTTGAAAAATTCATGAAGGCCAGTCAAAAACATGCATATATAGATTTCTTTCTAAAAATGAAATTAAAAAATAGAAAAGGATGTCAGTGTTATCATTGGTCTCTATCTCAAGTTTTGACTAGCCGCACAATTACTGTGACTTACTTAAAGCAAAATCAAAAAGTTTCGAATTCGTCTTTGTCGCAAGCTTTGAATTTGTAGTGCAATTTCTGAAATATCAAATCATTTCGCAAGGTATCGATCAAAATTTTTTTATGATAAATCCTTGTCTCCGCGATATCACAATAATAAAATTTCTGCTTAACTAATTTAATGACAATACTCAAATTGTATCCGTTATCAAAATACAATAATCAATATCAATTACTCAAACACTGCCGCTTTTTATCAGAGAAAAATCATAAAAGATTGAAATGAAAATCTTTTTTTTCGAATATATATTACCTTTTGATTTTAATGTATTTGTAAATCATCCATAAATAATAGAGAAGTGTAAATGGAGGAGGAAGGAAAGGTGTACTTTCATACTCCATTACTTGCCGATAACGTTGGAAAAGCCAAATTTCCTTCGAAACACGATCCGTTTTATCAAAAATGTTACTGAAAACAAGGAAAAAAAATTAGTGTATTGATAGATGGAGTTATTGGTAAAACAAACTTTACACCATTAACTTACTTATTAAAGTATACTTGGCGCGTTAGTCCTGAAAAAACAATTCGGTATGAAAAAAATAAGGTAGTATGAACAAACTTGAAAATTGCCAAAAGCATGCTCATCAATAAGATGTTGGCAATGAGTAGGAAACCGGTCATCAGCAATGGTGGTACCCAATAACCAAGTGGACATTTTTTATCTAGAAAAGTAATTACTTTTAGAAGATGAACACTCAAACATTTGATTAAAAAGAATTAAATAAAAATTAGATCAATATATACAATTTTGTATCATCTTAAATACTAACCGGAACGTGCCCCATTATACAAATCACTGATAGCAATACCTTTCTCAATATGTAAGTCCCAAGCTGAAAGCATAATCAATTTTTTAATGATACTTTTATGCCTTAAATAATCACGCGTTGGAATAACGACAAAACAATCGGCAAAACAATAAAAATATTGTCATAACGAGCTTCATGACTTTAAATTTAATGTTTCGATCAAATTTAGGAAAAAAACCTCTATCTCCACATGTATCAATTTCTCCAGCGTATACTTCTCCGTAAAGCATAAAATATGGCTTGTAAAAAATATTCCGGACAAGAAGCCAGTGCCAGTCTTCATTGGGGTAAGTAATTGCTTGTCGTGCCAAACCAAATGCCAACATTGAAACGAACAATAGCACGATGATGTAGAGCATATTTTGGATCTGCAAATTACAAAAAAATTGCAAAATTTAGTTTTAGCAATATTTCAAAATTCTAGGACAAATAATATGTCAACATATTCGACATCGCTGAAATAATCAATTAGCAAAAAAATAAAGCTGAATAAAAAATGCTGCTAAAGACCAAAAAAAAAACATGAGCCTCGAAGCTTACCATTTTTCCGGCCATGGTAATATAAGGTCCCATGCGAGGATGCATACTTATGAAATCCAACAATTTAATGGACCAAAGCACCGAATTACATGCCAACACTACCCTTCCAAATGCTCTGAATATATGACATGAACAAAGGTGTAAATACCATTCACTAAAATTTATAAATTAAAAATCAATCATCAATTAAGTTACAGATAAATGCTAACCTCATTGACTCATGCTTTACATCCAGTCGTAATCCAAATCCAATTAAATATGCTGCGACGGCTAAAGTTGTTAGTAAATTCCAGGTATTATCAAAAAAATACTTGGCTTTTTGAGCAAGCGATTCCGGTTCTGACATAATAAACTGAAACACAACTAACTAATGTTAAAACACAGAGTGAAAAAAAATTTCTGCAACTTAGAGGTAAGCGAAAAAGAGATCTGATTATTATCTAACCAAATTTGAAAAGAAAATTTCTTGAAAATCAGTAAGTGCGTCAAACAAAATTCATAAAACTCCTATAATTTTAACTGTAATCTCACTTCCTTCCAATCTTCAAAAATAAGTGAACAATCACAACACACAAAATATAACAGCTCTGGATTTTTGCTCGGACAAGAATGAAAATAAGAGTTGTGTTCTAAACATCCAAACTACAATAACTCCGTCAAAAAATTAATTCCATGAAATTTGAATTTGCATCAATTTATGAGTAATTTCTTTTAAATAAAACTAACCTTACGCAAATATTCTAAACCAAATACAACAACGTATGAAAACACAAGCCATTCCACCCATGTTGGCGTGATTAATGTTCTAATAAGCAATGTGTAGGTAAAGCAGCATAGGAATACACAAAATGTAATTGCCCACGCCCAAAATGTTGTTATTGGAGCTGTATAAAATTCATACAACTTTCGGCGAAATTTAATCGGTCTCTGAAACACATTTCCAATTAGTCACTTTAAATTAAATTGCAAAATAAACTTAAAGCTACCAATTTTAAGAATGTTAATATTCACTCTACTTAATATATCCTAACAACCATACCTTATTTCATATATTTTCTTCATGTGATCATGATGTTTATTACTTGCTCTAAGCATTTGCTATTCATTTAGGAAAACTTTTAGCCATCATAGACCACAGCAGTGGGAAATGTATTGAAACTAGTCACTTAAAATTACTTCTTAATCCTATCGTTTACTTATAATAAATTGTTGGGCACCTAGTTGTCGGCTGTTTTTGCTAGAATTTAAATAGATTTGGAATGTAACTAAATAAAATTATTAAAAAAGTATTGTGTACTAACCATATGAGGAATGGTCTGTCCGGCTACTGTAACCATTCTGGAAAGTGATGGATGTGCGGATTTACTGCCATGATCGGATGAATCGAATTTACGTTGTAAATTTTTACCTTTCATTATACCACAAACACAATTCGTAAGCGATACGCAAGTTTCCCGATGAGTAATACGTTCTTCTAAAACTTCGAATAATTTACTTGTATAATATAATATATATATATTATACAAGTATGAAGTTATATGTGTATATAAAACATAAGTTATATAACTTTATTAATGAAAATTAGAATACTTAATTAATTACCTGATAACCATAAAATGAAAACTTAATTGTGCAAGTCCCCTGTTAAATATTTCAAATCGGTGCTTAAATTCAAGATTGAATCTAAAAACTTACGGCTAACAATTTCAGAAATATTAACGTGTATCCCATACAAATGATAAGTAGCTTAATAATGCTAAGAATTTAATTTTGCTATTAACAGAAGCTTCTTTTAACTGTTTAAAAAGGTTTGGTATGAAAAGGCGTAAGCAACGGAATTTAAAAGCAATAAATGTGCAAAAAATTACTTTTGCTTGTGGAAACTTGTTTCGGCGGGGTTTTACGTGATACAATTGCAGTTTGTTGCTGTTGACTGATTCGACTTTGGACTGATGATACTGAACTGTTTCGCATATGACTTCTTGGAGAACAGAATACAGACCCTGAAACGAACACAAAAGATGTTGCATTTAAACTTAATCCTATTTTAACGACACATCTCGCTAAATTCAATAGTATATAATCCGAAAAAAACAAACTCCACAAAAAAAAGTAACACAATTTATTACTGAAGAGGTTACGCCGAAAATCATTAATCAATTAGTCAAATAATGCTTCACTAATTTGATATACCTTAGACATTGCTAAAAGCAAAAAAGAAGAAAGTAACGCAATTAGAATGCTGTGTTTCAATGAACAAATTAAAAAGAAATAACAAATGTGTTTGTCAATAATAGAATTTGCTTAATTAGTCATTTTTTCCTCAAATCAATAATTTATTTAATTAGATAATTAAATAAATTAACATTAAAGAATCTACCTGTTCCATTAGTTACAGCTAATGCGTTGACATTTACAATTTCGATAATTTCATGTGGCATTGTTATATTTCCACCATTTGACATAAAACTACCATCTTTGAGATGGGGTCGAGTACGTTTTCGTTTACCCTGGAACAGCTAGAATAGGTGAAAAAAATTGCCTACTCTAAATGCCTTACACGGCTGCACGGATAGTTTTCAGCAGACAGAGTAAAAAACAGAAAAAAAAACAACATAGCGCATAAAAGTTGTGATATTTTAACTTAATAGTTGTGGGACATTAGTTAATACCGCCTCACATCACTAAAAAGTCTCTAATACCGCTGACCATCCAATGAGTAAACATAATACACCAGAAGTAATCAATCAGTGTTGAAAATTTTGCCACAATATTTTCTTGCACTACCAATGAGACTTTAGTTTTTAAGCAAAACAGCAACCAAAGCTGTTTTGATTAATGTTTTGGATCAGGTAAACTTACCAATGCGAAATTATTTAAATTCTACTAACGCAACTTCTAAAAGAATTTTATTTGCGATGAATTTTTAAAAAATTTACTCCAGCTAAATTTATTGACTGTGTACTTTCTGTTGAGTTTCTTCGTCTTTCTCCATCTTGCTCATTCTAAAAACGGAAATAACGATAAAAAGTGAGTGTTGAATCTACAACAAATTAAAAAATCCTGTTGAAAGAAAAACTCTTTGAAATCTTTCCTACGACAATCATTCCCACTCCCTTAATTCTATTTGTCGAAAGTAAGAGAATCCATACATGTTGAAGGTCGTCAACCGAACTGAAATCTGAATCCGATGACGAATCAGTTCCAGAACTAGAACTGGAGCTATCACTGAGATCATTTTCATGCTCTGCTGCAGTTTGCGGTTGCAACAATAATTCTTCGCGTGATTTAAATTCCAATAAGAAAATAGTCAGCGGGCAGAATAAACCAAATAATACTTTTAGATTGGAATGACTGAAAATCTCGATAAAATACTTTACCAATTAACGAAACAAAAAGAGAGCAGAAAGAATTGACCTTTCCACAAAACCTTTCTACTGCTTTTAAATTCTGTCGCAATGTGAAAAGCAAAACTTAAATGGAGCCCAACTCCTCCAAAACATATAATTTTGACAAATCGAACGTTTATCTTAAACGGTGAAGAACAAAGCAGAAATTTAGAAAAGAATAAGGAAAAAATCAAAAAAGAAAAAAGACAAAATAATTTCCTACCTGCGCATTCTTAGGCCACCATGCCATAAATCAGCCAATAGGATCTGACAACTGAAAAACATCAGAAAAGTTTATGCAAAATATAAAAATACTGCCGCCTCAATCGAAAGCATCGCTGAAACATTCTCCTGGTAATGCATAGACAACATAATACCGTATAATTTTTTAAATCCATTTTCTAGTTAAATCATTGGAGTATTTGTCATTTCATGATAATAAATTTCGAAAAAAAGATAAGTTCTAAACTCTTACCATGGATGGGCCAAAAATTGTTTATTATTGACCATTACGGCAAGTGAAAGACACGTTTCATTCCCCCAACTAATTAATTCATAAGTAAGCAACTGAAGTGTTTGTGCATCGTCATAATGGTAGCAATGTTCCAATAGTGAAAGTGAAAGTTTGCGGAAATCCCTTTAAAAAAAGAAAGTAATATATGTTATATTAAAATAACGATATCCATTTAATTTTGAAAATTTTGGAAAAAGCAGCTTGACGTACTGCATACAACAAAGAAATATTAATTTTCATAACAAATTTTATGTGATAAATTCAAGTCTTGGGAAAGAAATTTCAATTAATGAGCAAGCAATGAATTATAATAAATAACATAAAGGGAGATCAAATTATAGAGGGATTAAATTTTAAAATTTCATATTCGAATTAACATCCGCTTTTTATAAAAAAATGTCAGTAAAATATATTTCGAATTTAGAGAATATGAAAAGTGTTCTACTGAACATTCTGATACTAAGATTATAAATGCACATAAAGATTTTCGATATTCACAGACATTCTTGAAGAGTGACTCTGTACACATCCTCAAATAAATAAAAATAAACACTATTTCAGTAAAAATCAACTTAAACACAAAATTTGAAAAAGTAAAATATTTAATAGGAAAAATAGTTAATTAAAAACTCACTCTGCATAATTCTTTAATTCTTCACAAATTTCAACTTCCAAATAATCTTCTGCAGCTTCTTTTGCTAAGCTCTTATACAATCGGCATGCTACCAAAGCCTGTAAAATCTCACAGAAAGATCACCAGTAATATATTTATGTTTTATCTACAATTTACATTGTTATTGTATTTGTTTAACTTAATCGAGACGCAAACAACATTCAGATGTAAACAAAAATGTAAACATTATTCAAAACAGTTCTTAAAAATAAATTACACTTGACAGTTTCATAAAAAATTCCAATGTAAAATTCAAAAAAAAGGAAAAATGATTTAAAGACATACTTTCATTTAAAAAACAGTAACAAGGAGATAGATAGAGCAAATTCTTGAGTTAGCCTTTATTACACTTAACTCATAACAAATGAAACGAACCTTTGCCATAGCTTCTTCACCATGTTGCCACATGCATAATGCCATCTCTTGTCGTTTGGTTAAAACAGCCCAAACAAGAAGTTCATTAAATGGATATTTGAAATCATCCACACCCTTTTCCATATCAGAGCACAAAGATTCTGAAAAAGTAAAGCGACGAATAATTTCGCTGTATTTCATAACCTAAAATACTAGATGTTACAAGTTATAAGAAAAAAAAGAAGATAAAACAATAAAATTCGGGAATACACCCAGAGCGTTATATAATTTCAATTGATTCTTACCATTTTCAATATCAACAACTGTTTCCTGTACTGCAGTTGGTTTCGATGATGGCATTAATCCAAAATTACTTGCTGGATTCTGAAAATTTAAATTCTTAATTATAAGCAACAATCCGACTATTTTATCATAGTGTTCTTTATGTTTCTGCCGGAATGCATAACGAGATTTTGAGGCAGGAACAATGAGTGGGATGACATCTGATAAAGTAAAAGTTCGAAAATAAAAGCAAAAGCTTGAAAATTTGGAATTATACATTCTAGAAACGTACATCTCGCCTTGAGCGCCACAATATATGATGATTTAATGCGCGATTTCCAGAATATGAAGCCAAAACAGCGTCTGCGCAAAGTTTATCCGGATTTGTTATCGGTGTAACAAAACCATCGGATGTTAAAGAGTCCCGAACACTATCCTGATTTTGTTTCCGAAGTTTCTGAAAAAAAAGAGAGATAGAGCTGAGAGTTTCTGCAAGCTCTAACTTAGGGATAATGATGGATAATCTCCAATTGATTGTTATGAAAATTTACATTAAAAAATCGATAAATCGCAGGAACGCCACCAGTTGTATTACTGGAATGAGAGCTCCAGATTTACGATTAACATTACTGGAAAACCAAAACTACATGCCTTCAATTTATTCCTATACAGAAGATATTTAGAACGAAAAGGTTCGGTTGTATACGATGACTTATACGCATAGCCCATAAGTTTTTCAACTGCAAGACCAATATGAGGTAGTCGATAACGATATCCGTCACGTATTTTAACCACATCTCGCACCACGTAGAACAGTGTGTTAGGCGGTCCTTTATCCTGAAATTATATCTTAAAACATTAAGTCCTACTGGAATTTGATACAACACTGATAATAACTTGATCCATTCCATATAAATCAGGATAAAAAAATAATTGCATCAATTTCGTTCTAAGCTTATTAATATTAATATCAAATTATATGAAATTACGTGGATAAAGTAAAAAAAAAAGAGAAAATTATTTCCGGGATTTTTGAGAATTAGGCAAAAAAGTATTCTAAATAGATAACTAGTCACGAAATACTATATTAATACATGATTGTTTTTCACAGATTTTAACTATGTGATTGCATAATTTCAAAATTTTTTAACTATGTGATTTGCATAATAATTCCAAAAACAGTGCAACAGAAATGAATATATATAAAGTAACTTCTTTAATTCCTTCGTTATACTTTGCTAACTGATTTGAACATGTGGGTAAGACATAATTATATAAAAGTGCTCGCTACTTTTCCATAGAAAAATTTCCACTTACCGTATTGTACAATTCTTCCAACCGTCCAATGGTTAAAAAGTTACCCATGCTAACACCATTTTCAAGCAATAAACGAACAAAATCAACCCGATCATTTATTAAAGCTTCCATCATTGCATTATGAAGAGCTGCCTTTGGCCAATCCTACAAATTATAATCCTCACATTTCTTCTTTCAGTTTTTTTTTTATAATGACTCAGTTGTTTGAAACACTGTAAATGTTATATGATCGTTAGAATGCCCGAAAAAACCTGAACTTTTAAGCCATTAATAAATAGATACTTTTAAGTGTCATGCAATATCTAACACATTACAGTAGGAAACATTACAATAAATCTTCATAGCATATCATTTTTCATTCAACGGTAACTATGCAGATAACATGAAGAAAATGGGAGATTCCAGGAAATACAAATCTCACATACAAATTAAATTTAAATTCTAATGTCCAATTAAAATTCAGCAAATCACACGCTAACCTGTCCCAGCACAAATATATCTGATCGTGCTATATCAACACGGTTCCAAGCTAATGCTAATGCAAGCTGATCTGGCGCTGATAAATTCTGCTCTTTCAATAAAGCTGTTAAGATGGCATGATCGACATCTTGTTTCTGATCTTCACCCAAACGAAAAATTGTTATCTATAACAAAATTTATTTGAAATGTTGATTTAAGATTTGAATAGGAATAACTTCCGTAGTATTTGCTGCAATATCTCTCTTTGCCATCAATAACAAAAAGTTCAATGTTTCTGAGCCTTCAATTTCTTCGAGAAAGCCATAGGACTAACAGAATAGGTTAGACAAATAAGGAGAAGATACTGGAGTAAATATCATAGGAACTGCTTGGAGGCTTTTTTGTTTTGTAATGGAAATGTCCAGTCAACTACTTCGCATCTCTTACCCAAGCATCTATTTAATAATATCCTCTTAAGCCAGTTAAAATTCTTGAAATGCCGTGACCAAAATTCAAATTTTAAAATTATTTTAAAAATAAAAAAAGACCAGATGTCTTTGACGAACACACATCATCAACTGTTCTAGAAGTTTTTCGGCTGCATTAACATCATAACCAAATACATATTGCACTAGACTGAACAACTGCGGCTTTACACCTTCGGGCAGCTGTCTAAAATAAGAAAATTAGGAAAAAATGAAACCAAATGTGAGAAAATGGCAACAAATTAGTTGTAATAAAATATAACAGGAAGATAGTTTAAAAAGCTTCCAGAGAATTCAAATGAAATTTTTTGTTTGACTAAAGTTAACTGTATTCATTGCCATTGAAAGCCATAATTAGCAAGTGAATCACACCAAATGATTTTGCTGTCATTGAGGTTTGTTCAGAATGTCTATTTCGAAAGAAGAAATATTATCGATGTCCAGAGTGTCGCTATCAGTGGGCACAAGCTTTGCAAGTGGCTACACAAAGTTTGAAATTTCGAAAAGGCCAAAAATTTACCCATCCTCTTGCACGTATTGATGCGCAAAGGCTAATAAATCAGCTGCCCGACCACTCCCATCACAAATAACGACTGGAACTCGCGGTGACCTATAAATATGCCATCGTTTAAACTTCTTATTTCATATTTCCTGTACTAACTGCTGGAGTGTTCACGACAGCACTCTTTCTACTGATGCAATGACTGTGATGTGCATAGGATCGAAAATTAATCACTGAAATACTGAGCCTTATGATATAAGCAGTCCAAATAATAAAACTAAAACATATACAAAATGAAATCGAACTAGCATAATTTATCTGAATTGACATTTTTTCGTTTAATTAACGATACATTTGAAAATAAAAACCACCTAAAATTAAATGTATTCGATAGCAATTGAAAAATTGATTAAATCAAATAAACTTACATGCAAACACAATCGTAAACTGCTTTAATTGTACAAGTTCCACCTTCCAAGACAACGCAAACAACCGGAACGCTTCGTGTTCCGTTACCAAGCGTTCGTTTTTCAGAAATATATGATTCCAACCTTTTTCTCAATATAACATCAGCTCCATAACTAAATAGCGCAGAATTATTTTATAAATTATCTTACTCATTACCGATATCATCAGACACCGATCACAACCCACTTTAGTAACACTAGAAAGTTGTCTAACACTTCAATGGAACTACGTATTAAGCATGAACTGGGGAATCTGCTGAAAACATACCGTCCTACAGTACCATTATCAACAAGTAGAAAATAGGAATGTCTACTATTCAACACAGCAAATCGTCCTTTAGGAGAAAAGGAATGTGGATGATACGGAACAACTGTACCCTGAAATGGAATCACTACAACATGAAATAAAGACTGCTAATCTAACAAATAAAAATTTAAACAAAAATTCAAAGGATTAAGCCTAAATTTAACCTGGAACTTACCTGTCCCAGAAGGCTGTCTCTCTTCTTCAACAAACCCCATGGAGCAATACCAATGGTGACTATCTTGGAACGAACTCGTGAAACATTACTCGAGCCGTCAACTGCTGCTGCAACTTGACGAACTACACCAGCGTTTATACCTAAATTCCTTTCATTACCAGAAAACTGGATTCATTCCTAAAAATTCGTTGGCTGGAATCAATAATATTCAAATTTTGGAATTTTATGCAATTTAAAACAGATTAAAGGAGAAGTTTCAAACCAACACAAATAATTTTAAGGCATCATCACTCTAAAGGAAGAGGAACATTCAAAGATCATCCTACCTGCAGTAATAATCCACGCACCGGTAGTTTTCGCTGCTTTTAATAAACCTTTACGAAACACTCGTGCTAATTTTGGTTGTAAACTGAAAATTGGAACAAGAACTAATATTCAAATTTATACGGATTTCGAAAATATTGTTCATTCTTCCGTTTCGTGATTTCATCTGCATAGCCACTATTACTGAATGCTTTTCTAAAAAATCAAATAGTACTGCAAACTGATTCTAAATTAAAGAAAACTTAAAGAATTATAAATCATACTCAAAATCGGCCATGCCTCCATGAACTGTTATAATTAATTTTGGAGCTGGAACCTTCCAGACCGTTTCGAACAAATCCATAATATCAGATGGATTTGATTCGACTGTCAACCTCAAATACTGCGCCTTATATGGGTGAGGCGCACCTATAATACTATGAACGTCTAAATCAATGAAAAAGATTTTATCAGGATTGCTCTTGAGATTTGGCATGTTTCTTGATACCATATTTTTCCTAAAGTACTAAATTACTAGAGTGATTATAATGAAATCATTTCCGATCAACTTTCGCAAAGAACCATGCGGTGCTACCCATAACTCAATTTCATCAACTTATTAGCTATTTTAATTAGTTGCAAATGTAATACTAATTTCAACAACAAACAAAATCATTAAAATAACCATAACCATTTGCTAATTAATAAAAAGAATGGATAAGACCGCCTCAAATATAGGATTCCTGCAGCGAGATTCCGGATATGTTTTATCACAATAACAGTGCTCCCACAAATAATCAATCATATACTGACCTTGAAATTCAATTGTACCATAAGCATCGGTTGGGAATAAAGCTGTATGCTTCCCTATCGTCCACTTCTCACTAGTCTTAGCAGGTTTACTCTGAAAGAGTAAAAAAGAAAACTATTTCAAAAATTGAAAAAAAACTTGAAAGAGTGTAGGAAAGCGACGATCGTTCCAATTCCAAAAATATTATTTGATGGAATTCACTTCAAAATAGAAAACATGGATTAAACTGATGGAAAAAACGGACATAACACCTTGGCAAATGCATGATAAACTTACTGATAATCCAACCTCACTTTCGCAACCTGTCATCTCCGGTTCTACTTCTTCATCGCTTCTGGTCGCATTAGGAATCCTTTCAACTGATGGAATATTCCATGATGTTGAGCATCGTCGACTTGACATGTGATTTCGTTTCAACTTTCCACAACCACATCTGCACGTGTACATCATATACGATCAACGTACACCTCATAATATATAATTCAATGTATATCTCATATTATATAATTCAAATTATTAAAAAAGTCATTCAGACCTCTTAAAATATTATAATATAAATTAACTTACTTATCAGCACATCGATTACTCGGTATAAACTGGATGCATTCACGTTTTTTGAATGTTTGTTCTACCCAATTATTTTGCAACAATGACTGGAAATGAATGAAAATGGATATGGATACAAAAGAAATCATAATTTTCAAATGAAATTAAATTTTCTATAATACTATCTCAATTAAAATTCTCGATATAACCAATGCATTAAATAATTTCAATTTTCAATCAAAAAATCCAACTACAAAAGACAATAATAAACTCACAGTTGAACTAGTAGCCCTTGTTTTCGAATGCATTGCACTAGTTAATGAAGTTGGCGTTGCACATACTTCCGGTGGTTCTGACGTAAAACACTTCGATGGTACATCCTAAAATTCTTTCTTGGAGAAGACTAATTTGAGTGATCAGCTTTATGAATCAATCTGGCACATAAGCTTCCTATATAACATTACTGAACTATCGCCTCGCAATTAATTCTATACACTTTATTAAAATTTATATGAAGTAGTACGCTTTACATATTTAAAAAGCTTAAGATCTCACTTCTAATGATACATAAATACATGAAAATAAAGTGTTTATACAATAAAGTCTTATTCTAATTAGTCCTGCAAAGTCATACTTCATAGCTGAACAAGTAATCGATAGAGGAATGGGTAAATATTCAGAAATGAAATATTCGGCATACAAACAATTTTCAAAAGATCATTTAAATTATCCCTTCATATTTTCACAGTTTCACGTGTTTTCCGTAAACAACTGTGAGCCTTTTAAACATCAGTGCTCCTTTGTTAATTATATGCTTTTGTTAATTGTTCATTTTCAAATTATTTTTCCTCGTATTTCTTCACGGAAACTAGTAAAGCGATAATTTTTACCTTATCCGTTTGTGTTCCACGACTTCCAACAGTAACTTTGTTAGCTGTATTAACCAAGGAGAGCATTTCACGCCAATCATTACAGTGAAAATGACGTGCACCATTTCCGGATTCTTTTTTCATTTTTGCGATTGGCTTCAATTTACTGTCATTATGGAGTGGTCCTAAAAATTTCAAAATAAAAAATCATTAAAAAGCAAAGCATTCAACTAATTATCAAATCTGTTAATTATCAATTATCAAAATTTCAATAATTATATTATCAAAGGAGAAAAAATTTTTAGGAATTAATAAATTTGCCTTCTTAATTATGAATACTTTAAAGATAATGATGTAAGGTAATTATCGTCGCATAAATAAAATAATCCTTGAAATTAACGATAACATTAATGATAACAAATCGATCGAATAGATGAAATATTTCATCCATTTTATTATATTGCTTTTTTTAAAGCTAATTTATTGATTTGAAATCTGTACGAAAAATAAATGTTCATATTTGATATGAAAATAAAATATTCTTTGATGAAATTTGAAAGAATGTTTCCACCAGAAATAATTGTTTAATAGAAAATTTTATATTAATAATAAAAAAAGAATAAAATGATAAAATGAATGAATTTTTTTTGATTTCATGAAATTTCAAAACTTTTCCGGATACATCTAGTCTAGTATTATGCATCAAAATCTTCAATATGATATATCCGTAAGCTATTCCGGAATTCTTCACTTCGTTTTTTAATATGAAATATGATGTAAGCAGTGAAAAAAACATGCCTATAGGTAGAGGAAATAGAATGAGAATGTAAAAATACATATATGTAAAAACAACACATCCAAATATACATCTGTAAATGATAGTAGCGAACATACAGAAAAGATGCACATGCAGACAGATACAAGAATATGTATATTCATGCAGAGAGATTCGGTTAAAATGATTTGTAATGAACAGAGAGATTCGGTTAAAATGATTTGTAATGAACAGAGAGATTCGGTTAAAATGATTTGTAATGAACAGAGAGATTCGAATCATTTAGTATTACCAGAGAATTTATTCGTTGCAACTGTTGCAGTGGATATTGTTGCTGTTGTTATTGTTGTATTTGCGACATTTGTTGTATTAGTAATGGTAGCAGTCGCGGATGGTGCAACAATTTCGATTTGCACATATATCGCAATATCGATGTCATCTGTAGCCAATCTCACGTAATGCATCGTACCTAATAGCACATTAAATATTCCACGGCTCCAACCCTATTTACGAACGGATATCAGAGTGTAATAATGAATGGGATAAACAGCATTATCGCTTACTTCTACTATTTCACGCTTACTGCTACTATTTCGCTCTTACTGCTACTATTCTACTCTTACTGCTATTATTCCGCTACTCAATACTTCTGCTTCATCTGTCGTTACTATTTCTATGTTAGAAAATAATAAACAACAAAATACAACAAAATTAATGATATATATATATATTTCAATACTTATTATTTTAGTATTATTATACATTTCATTTATATCGTTGTCGCGCTACTAATAAATAAATAACAATAATTATTATTTAGTTTGTCGCGTAACATTTAATAAATGCAATGAGAATATAACTAATAGTATTTTGATGATTGGAAAAAATTTTTTTTTTGAAAATATATATGTACATATGTATATCTAAACATATAATAGCATGCATGCAAACATGCAATAGCATGCATGCAAACATGCAGTAAACATATATTGCATGTACAAATAAATATATGCATAAATAAATAAATATTCATATAAATTTCTTTTACATTAAAATATACAATTGTACTATATTCAAATGCAAATTATATGTATAAATTAAAGGAGAGATGTAAGAAAGTTATTGTTGCCAAATAAAATTTATGAACAATTATACCTAAACATACAATAGCATGCATGCAAACATGCAGTAAACATATATTGCATGTATAAATAAATATATGGATAAATAAATATTCACATAAATTTCTTTTACATTAAAATATACAACTGTATTATATTCAAATGCAAATTATATGTATAAATTAAAGGAGAGATGTAAGAAAGTTATTGTTGCCAAATAGAATTTATGAAGAAATATTTAACGAAATTTTGAAGTGCAAAAGAGAGAAATTCTTATCCATTGGAGTGAAAGTTTCGGTGAACAATGATTTTGGATCATTTTAAATATTTAGTAATTCTTGAAAGAGCAATATGTAATGATGTATATGTATGTATGTGTGTATGTGTGCCTTCTCGTATATATATATATATATGTCTGTGTGTATATGTATGTATATATATATATATATATGTATATAATATATGAATATGTTAAAAAGGATCATTAATCAGGCCTTTCCGCCCTTCTTTTCCGCATTTGAAAAGGATGACATCATTTTGATATGAAAAGAAATCGTTGCATTTGAAGTTTTTAAAAAAAGTAAAATTATATTATCATTACTAATGCAACGTTTATTTTTATAAGAATTATTGATTTCTTCTCAAATTATAAGAATTATTGATTTTTCCTATAATTATTACCGAAAGAAAATAAGGAGAGAAAATACTTCCATTAAATCTTCTGTCTGTCTATTATTATCACAAAGATTTACAGATATATAAATTGAAATTTTAAAATGTAGGAGACAAAAGTCTCTAATCTATTTGAGTGAAAATTTTGGAGAATAATAATTTTGAAACATTTTCAATCTTTTTTTTAATTTACTCGAAAATATAAGAAATAGTTATTGCATGTCAGTTGACGCTGATGGTACTAAGTGAAAATAGGATGTTAATTTTTTTACGTGAACGAAATAATTACAATCTTTTATGTGAATTGTAAGCGTATGCTAATTGCATGTATAAAATAAAGAAAGAAATGGTTATTGCATGTTAGTTGACGCTGATGGTACTAAGTGAAAATAGGATGTTCTTTCTTCTTTACGTGAACCAAATATTTACAATCTTTTACGTGAATTGTAAGTAATTGGTTCACGTAATGCTAATTGCATATATAAGTAAAGAAAGAAATGGAAGGAAAAAAATTAAATATATTTTATTTACTAACATTTTGCAATAGCGTTGTTAAAATTAAAGGATTCAATATTTTATGGATACTATACAGTAGAAAAATTGTTAGATCAGGAATTTAAAAAAGGGATTAAACAGGTCAAGTTTTTATCGCATATCACATCATGATCTGTATGCTTAACTGACCTGTATGTTTAACTATATTGTAACTTTTCAGTTATTCCAATTAGTTGGAAAGTTTCAAACTTTAAATTCATTGAAATTATGCATTAATAATAATAATATTATTATCATTAATGTTATCAAAAAGCAATATATCGATTGATCAAATGAATTAGTGGTAAGAGAGATTTAGACATGGATGAAAACTTTTGCTTACAATGAAATTTAAATTAAATTTAAAATTAAACTTTAAAAAACTCGAACTCTGGAATAAGTTTGACAGTTGAAATAGATACATTAATGACAAATGTAGGTAACATACCATTTTCAAAATTTCGATGACGACGACGATGACCTCCAGTTGTTGCATTTCCATTTCCAGCTGCTCGTTCTCGAGTTCTTGTTATTCTAGCAAACGGATTGAAGTATAATCTATACTACCAACTTATACATATATATATATCTTTCATTAATTGTTACTATTTTCTTTGATGAATATTTACGTTGAAATAGCATTAGGAAATTTTCGATATAGTATTTACAGGTTGAATTTAAAGCTGTAAATATTATATAGAAAATCAAATTTTTCTTTTTTGAATTTCATATAAGTTTGTTGCATATAAATTTTGAAATTTTTTATAGTAACGAAATTAATTATAAATCTATCCGATAATGCTAATTCAATTTAAACTTTATTTTGAAGGAAAAAAAGGTATAATTAAGGAGAAATAACTAATTATAAATTCTTAAAGAAAAAGTTAAAAATTTTGGAAGCGATTTTAAAACAATAAAAGTAGGTAATTAGCTATTTTTTTTTTAAAAAGTAGGTAATTAGTTTCTTTTTATTCCTATGTTTGTTGGCTTTTGATAATCGAAAAGTTTATTTAATTTATTTAAAGATAATTTCAACATTAAATCAAATACTAATTAGATATGTATTGATATGCTAATTGCATTTACATTGATGTGTTAAATAAATTTTCTACTTCATATGAATGTTGTTAATTGTAACCGGACGTTAACCCGTGATATATTTATATATATGTTAACCCATGATATAATATATACTGCAATTTAAGATTACATTTTCTGCATACTATACTATGACGTTTAGTTATTTCATAAATTACATTATATTCATAAGTTATTTAATATGATATATTTATCAGTAGTGAATTATTTTTTTAAGATATCAACAAATAAAATAAGATATGATAATTGATAATAGAGATATGATAATTTCATTGAGTGATAAATTTGTGAATATTTTCAATTGTTATCTTAAAATGAACCAATCTATCGGATGGATACCTTAATTCTAAATCTTTAACAGCTTCATCAGGATTACGCTTTATCTCGTCACAAATATTGACATACATAGAATCCATTGAAGGGTCATGATGTTGACCTCTGGTTGCTGCAATTATTGCAATAATCAAGGTCTAATAATACGTTAAAAACTATGAGAGAATAGATCGATGTAAAAATTGCCGCAATTTCTTCATTTTCTATAAACAATCTCATAATAGCCTATTTTATCGATAACACAAAAATTATAATAAATTTAAGGAGAAAAATGAATAAATGCCAATTTTTTGCAAAATCATTAAATTATCTTATCATAACGGATAGTGATAAAATTTTATCACAACTATACATAATTGAAAACAGAGTAATTTAAGATTATCTTTTAAACTATTTTTTTAAATTTAGATTTATTTACTGAATGAAGATTTACTTTGCAATTTTACTACAAAGTTAAAACTAACCGGATACGGTTGATACTTGTTGTTCGATCCACGGTTTAATATTCTATCTTTTAAACTATTCTTTTAAAATTTAAATTATTTACTGAATGAAAATTTACTTTGCAATTTTGCTACAAAATTAAAACTAACCGGATACGGTTGATGCTTGTTGTTCGATCCACGGTTTAATATTCTATCTTTTAAACTATTCTTTTAAAATTTAAATTATTTACTGGATGAAAATTTATTTTGCAATTTTACAGCAGAATTAAAACTAACCGGATACGGTTGATACTTGTTGTTCGATCCACGGTTTTATATTCTGTTTAGCATACATATTACTTTTTCGTCCAAATTCACTTCTTTTAAATTTGCCGTTCAAAAATCAATTGATTGATAGAAAGCTAAAGAAAAAAACGATTGAGAAATTTAACAGTTAAAGAAAACAAAAAAGAAATTTACACAGTAATAAAGCACAGAATAGAATTATGTTTAAATAAAATTGTTCAAAGTTTATAGTTTGAAATTTAAAAATTACATTTAAAGTTGAAATTTTGACGTATAAGTAAAATTTAATATATCAAATTGAAATTTTAATTTTAAACATAAAATAGTATAAATAATTAAGGAATTAATTAAAGCAAAATTAGATAGTAACGGAATAAGAAAGAGACTAAAGAAAGAAAGAAAGAAAGATAAAATGATAAAGGCCAAGGAATTGATAATATCGGGAAATTAATCATTTCCAGGATGAAATTATCAAATTGAAATTTCAATTTTAAATATAAGATAGTATAAATAATTAAGGAATTAATTAAAATAGAATTAGATAATAAGACAATAAGGAAAAAGATGAAATGATAAAGGTACAATAATGGAAAATAGAGAATTAAGAAAAGAAGATAAAATGATAAAAAATCAAGGAATTGATAATATCGTAAAATTAATCATTTCCAGGATGAAATTATCAAATTGAAATTTTGATTTAAAACATAAAATAGTATAAATAATTTGACGAATTAATTAAAATAGAATTAGATAATAAGAAAGAGAATAAAGAAAAAAAGATGAAATGATAAAGGTATATTAATGGAAAAAAAAGAGAGAATAAAGAAAAAAAGATAAATGATAAAAGCCAGAGGGAATTGATAATATCAGGAAATTAATCATTTTTATGAATAAAAAAATTAAAATTAAAATTAAAAAAAAGAAGCATAAACGAAGTATCTGATGAAAATTGAACCCAACCAAACTAAACTCATTTATTTCATTCATTGATTTATGGCTCATTTAAAATAATACGTTTTTTACAGTTTCATTCATATATGTGTGTATGTGTGTGTATGTGTGCATGTGTGTCTGTCTCTGTCTGTCTGTGTGTGTGTGTCCATTTCTTGTTAAATTTTTTTTTAAAATAAATTAAATGAAAAAGAATTGTTTTAAAATATTTTAATTGGCAAAGAAAAAAAAAACAAAATGAAAAAAGTTTTCCCATAAAATATTCGAAATAGACATTTTAAATGATTCGGAAAAAATGAATTTAAAATTTTTGAGTACCAAAAAATAAAAGTAGAGAGAGAGAGAGAGAGAGAGAGAGAAAGAGGTGAAAAAGAATGGATGAAAGCGAAAGAGAGAGAATATAATGGAGAAATCTGATTGTAATATTTTAGATGTAAACTGAAATATGTGACATATGGAATGGTTATAAATACATTATTTACACATCATATAAACAACAATTGCAAAGGTCAATATAACTTCCAAGTGGGTGTGGAAGCTATGACCTTAGCAACTAATTATTCAAATAACAATCAATGCAAATATAATAATGTGAAATTATTAATGTATCAAAATAATATAATCCTGTTGACCTGTTTTTATCATGTTGACCTGTTTTTTGAAAAAAAGTGAAGAGAAGAAATTTGAAGTATTTCTAGATTTCTTACCTTTTCAAATATTTGATAATTGAGATCAGAAAAAGCGCTATAGCTGTATGAAGCGTGAAACATTAGCCAGGTATAATTTCTGAATTGAATAATGAAATGTCACGTCCACGCCGTCCACGTAAATTCATTCACAATTTCACTCCAATCGTATAATTAATTGTCTTTTGTTTTCTCTCTCTCTGCGTGTGTGTGTGTTTTTCTTTGATTCAAATTTAGATAGCAAATTTGAATTTCAAATTTGAATAGTAGGAAAATAAGTTCAAAGCGTATTTCTTTCTCTTAAAATAAGAAATTAAAATTTTTTGCATTGATAAAATAATGTGCGAAAAGGATGAAAGAGAGAGAGAGAGAGAGAGTGAGAGAAAGAAAATTAAAAGAATGGAAAAGATTGAAAAAAAGATTTGAAGAGGAAGAAAAAAGAAATTGAAATATCTCAAATTGAAATACGAAATGCTATTCGAAAAATATATATATGAAAAGGATGGATGGATGTAAAAATAAATTGAAAGAGTCCTGAATCATAATAAATGAGATACTATTAATAGGTTGGAGAGAATTCCTTTTTTCTTTCGGATAAATTTTTGAAAAATGATTCCAATGAGAAATGGATATGAGATTTTCTGATAATCGGAAAACTGAATATAGCACTAATATTTTTACTCGTATATTATAATTTTCCAGTAACTAAAAAGTTTGATACAATAATGAGATTTTCTGATAATCGGAAAACTGAATATAACATTAATATTCATATTCGTATATTATGATTTAACGATAACTAAAAAATTTGTTAGAATATTAGCATATATGAGATTCTCAATTCCGTAAAAAACGAGTATGAGATTTTCTGATAATCGGAAAACTGAATATAACATTAATATTTGTATTCGTATTTTATGATTTATCGTAACTAAAGAGTTAAATACAATATTAATATATATGAGATTCTCAATTCCGTACGAATATGAGATTTTCTGATAATCGGAAAACTGAATATAGCATTAATATTTATATTCGTATTTTATGATTTACCGGTAACTAAAAAGTTAGATACAATATCAGCATATTGAGATTCCCAATTCCGTAAAAAAAGGATGTGAGAATTTCTGATAATCAGAAATAGTATTAATATTTATACTCGTATACTATGATTTTCCGGTAACTAAAAAGTTAAATGCAATATTAGTATATGTGAGATTCTTAATTCCGTAAAAAACAGATATGAGAATTTCTGATAATCGGAAAACTGAATATAGCATTAATACTTATATTCGTATTTTATGATTTACCGGTAACTAAAAAGTTTGATACAATATAAACATATATAAGATTCTCTGATGATCGAAAAATGATATAAACCATCAGCATACTTGGAGTTTCTTCGGTGACCAGAAAACTAAATAAAGGAATAAGGTTAAATGATAAAGTGCAAATTAACAACAAAAAAATGATAATTAAAAAAAAATACGTAATTTAATTAAAACGGAAAAAAAATGGATGGATGAAAAATAATTTGAAAAAATCCTGAATACTAGTAATTAATATTACCGATTGGAAAATGTATTTTCATCAATAAATTTAGGTAAAAAAGAAAACGAACGCGAAACATCAATAATTGATAGAAAATTTAAAATAACACTTAAATTAAATAAAGGTAAGAGAAGTCTAACAAAAGTTGCGATATTTTATTGATTGTATTTTTAACGAAAAAAAAAACTGTAATTAAAATATTTTTGTAAAATCATAAATCAGAAATGATTGAATATGTAATGCTTCTGTTAAAATATGAAGCACTTTTAGCATGAATTATTCTTTAATTTTATTTTTTTGAAATTGTAGAAAAAATGTAGAAATTATTTTTTTTTTACGTTGAAATATTTGTAAAGAAAGATAGCCGGATAATGAATTGAATTTCAAATCGATTCTTATTTTATATATAATTTCATATTATTAAATTTAAATAATTCCAACAGTTAAATAAATAATTAAGTATAATTTGATCATTTGTTTAATAATTAAGTTTTAATTTTTTCATTGGTAAATCTTAAAATAATAATATGAAACATTGCGGTAGAAAAATATTATTTTGCTTGAAAAATTATACAAATATCAATTGGGTCATTTCATTTTAATGCTATATACCTTGGCTGCTTACCTTTAGGCTTACTGCTAATATTTGCTTCTAGCTAAAATTATTTTATGTTCCGTTTTCATTCGTTTCATTTAATGCTCAAGCAAATTCAACTGATCTGAATTTTGATAATAATAATTATTGTTATTATTACTACCAACATTGCTATTTTTATTACTATCATTGTTATTGTGATTGTTATTATCATTGTTATTGTTAATGTGATTGTTATTATCATTGTTATTGTTATTGTTACTGTCATTATTATTCTTGCAATTGTATAATGATTAAAATAAGAATGTAATAACAATCATAATAATGAAAATCTTTTAAAAGTAATAAATATTTTATTTCATACCTTTTGAAAATTATAGCTTTTATGAATTGTAAAAAGCAAAAAAATAAAATGAAAAATTTTTCGAAAATTTTCTAAAATTTGAATTCCAAAAATTTCTACATATTTCAAAAGAAACCGATAAATATTTGTTATTTTTATTATTATTGTTATTAAACTTTATTGTTATTAATATTAAATAATATTGTTAATACTATTATTATTATTGTGATTGTTGTTATCACTGTTATTGTTACTGTTATTATTATTGCTATTATTATAGCAATTGTGCAATGATTAAAATAAAAATGAAAATATTTATTATTTTTGTTATTATTATTGTTATTAAACTTTATTGTTACTAGCATTAAATATTATTGTTATTAATATTAAATATTATTGCCATTATTATTATTATTATTATTATTATTATTATTACTGTTATTATTATCATTATTATTGTTACTATTATTATTATTATTGTTATTATTATTATAGCAATTATACAATGATTAAAATAAAAATGAAAAAAAAATTGAATTTATTTTTTATTCAAATAAAATTTCCCATTCTGAAAATGACTGATAATTTTAATGATAAAAAAAGATTGATAATTTCAATGATAAGAAGATGATCACAAAAAAAAAGTGATAATTTCTTTTTTTTTCATTCCTTTCTAAGATTGATAATTTCAATGATAAGAAGATGATCACAAAAAAAAAGTGATAAT